TACTTCTTTTTTTTTTTTTTGGTCTTTTTGAAATAGGGTCTCCCTGTAGCCCTAGCTGGCCTAGAACCCACTATGTAAACCAGACTGGCCTTATACTCACAGAGATTCACCTTCCTCTACCTTCCAAATGCTGGGACTACAGGCGTGCACCTCCACATCCAGCCATGACTCATACTTTTAATTCCGGTACTCTGGGATTTGGGGCCGGGGGATTGCCACAAGTTTGAGGCCAGCCCAGGCTACATAGTTCAAGGACAGCCTGGGCTAGAAAGCAAAACATTGCCTAGACTCATACTTTTAATTCCAGTACTCTGGGATTTGGGGCCGGGGGGATGGCCACAAGTTTGAGGCCAGCCCAGGCTACGTAGTTCAAGGACAGCCTGGGCTAGAAAGCAAAACATTGCCTAAAAATAAAAGGTAGGACCCATGTGACAAGAAAGGAGGTTAGTGAAGAATGGTAGACTACAGGGTGAGCAAAGGGAGCAAGAATCACTAAAATAAATTTTGTTCAAAAATGCCATAATGATGGGTCTAGAGAGATGGATCAGCGGTTTAAAAGAAACTTTTTTTCTTTTTGAGACAGGGTCTCTCTGTAGCCCCAGCTGGCCTGGAACTCACTATATAGACCAGGCTATCCTCAAATTTACAAAGATCTGCCTGCCTCTGCCTTCCAAGTACCAGGATTAAAGGCGTACCACCATGCTCAGGTTTAAAAAGAAACTTTTAAATAAATTATGCAACCAGTTATTTATTTAATCTAAGGTTTATGTATTTTTGCTCTGTTGATTACATACTCAATCTCTTAGAAAATGGACGCTTTAAAGTGGTGTATCATACTTTTTGTTTTGTAGATCACAGCACCAGATCCTCTGGTCAACATCCAGAATCACATTGGAGAGCATCACAGAGTAAGTGAAGCAATATTTGCAGGTCTTCTTGTGAGTGTGAGATCTGTGGCAGTGTGAAAGAGATGAAAAAGGTACAGTGAATGCTTTAAAAAGGAAAGAGGCAGGGCGTGGTGGTGCACACCTTTAATCCTAGCACTCGGGAGACAGAGGATTATGGATCTCTGAGATCAAGGCTAGCCTGATCTACATAGAAAGTGCCAACCAGCAGAGACTGCAGGGAAAACCTGTCCATTATCTCTTTCTCTTTTGATTTAGCTTTAATTTTTTTTTAAAATTATTAATGTGTCTGTCTGTCTAGGTATCTGTCTCTGTCTGATGTGTATGATATGGGGGGGAGGGCACATGCCATGGTATGTATGAAGGTCAGAGGACAGCTTCATGGAGTTGGTTCCCTCCATCTACCTTACATGGGTTCTAGGATCAAACTCCAGCCATTGAACTTGTGTAGCAAGCACCTTTACCTGTCAAGCCATCTCACCAGCCCTTGATTCACTTCTTGAGTTTTTTTTTTCCTGTATTCCTAAACCTGAATTTTAATTTAAAAAAGAAACAAACCCTATGCTTTCTGTGGTTTGCTGAATGAGCTTGTTTATAGTATAAATTTGTTATTTGTTTTTAGTTTTTTCACTGATATAGTAGTATGAACCTTACAGCTTTGAAAATTTTCATCTATTGTTGATGATGGGACCCAAATATTAGCAAATAATATACTAAAATGCTGGTAACAATGATTTGTTCAGGGTGATACTATCATTAATGACATTTGCTTTTGGTTTGTGTTAGAGGAGGCTGAGAGTTGAACCCAGGGTTTTAAATATGTTAGGCAAGCCAGGCATGGTAGTGCATGCCTTTAGTCCCAACCATGCTGGAGACGGAGGCAGGTGGATTTGTGAGGTGGAGGCTAGCCTGGTCTCCATAATGAGTTCCAGGACAGCTGGGGATACAGGGAAACACTGTCTCAAAATAACATATTTTTATCAGTTTTTAACTATGTATGTCTATATATGCACGTGAGTGCAGGTACTCTGTTACCCAGAGCTTGAACTTCCCTGGAGCTTGAGTTACAGACAGTTGTGAACCTGATGTGAGTGCTGAGAACTGAACTTGGGTCCTCTGCTAGAGCAGGTTATGCTCTTTACCACTGAGCCATCTCTCCAAGCCCTTAAAAAAGGTTTTAAAAAAAATCTCATAAAAAGAGAGTCTATCAAGCATCCTGCCATCTTTAAAAGAAAAAGAAGCTGGGCATGATGGCACATGCCTTTAATTCCAGCACTGGGTAGGCAGAGACAAGTTGATCTCCAAGAGATCAGGGTTAGCCTGGATTACATACTGAGTTCCAGGCCAGCTGGGGCTACAAGGAAACCCTGTTTCAATAATCAGTAATCAATAAAAGAAAAAAAAATGTATATTTGGAACTGCCGAGAGAAAGGTTACATTTGATTTCTTTATGGCATCTATAGTAAAGAAGCAAAATGTCTGTGTAACATTTTTTTTATCTTAACTTCCCAGTGTTCTCTGACCTTACTCCTATTTTCCATTGTAGGTCAAGATTTTGCAGCTCCTGAGAAGCCACCTTCAGTGGTGCTGAGTAAGTGGTCGATAGTCTGTTATCTACTTCAGTCAATCCTATCCCTGCCTTATTCGACCAACAATATGCTTTGAAATCATTTCAGCTGCTTTTTAACCCATCACACATTGGTACTGGTTGTGGTAATTCTTTTGCAATGTGTAAATATATTCAGGGTTGTTTCATCATAAGTGATTTACTTGTAGGGGTAAATGCCTAACTTTTCTTAGATGTAATTAAAAACATGAAGTATGTTTGAATCTTGGAGATCAGAGTAATACAGGAGTTATAGTTTTGTCTATTAAGTGATAATATCTTTTGTTATGGGAAGACTTTTATCTTCACTGATCTGATTCTATGAAATTATTTTACTTCAGAAACTATTGCTTTGTTGTTTTCCTTCCCATGTTTTTTTCCCTTTCTGATGAATTTCTTAACACTGGACAGTAGTGTAAATTTTTAAAGTATGTGAAATAACGTTTTGATATATGTGTTTGCTTCAGGGTTGGAATGTCAAAGCCCTCAGGACTGCATTGAGCAGACTCTAAGAATGAGGACTAGGATGCCGAGTGAGTAGACACATCACTGTTACTTGCTGCTTTTGCTGATTGAGGAGCATACCAAAATCTTTGGTTTTCCCATTAAGCATTTAGGTTGTTTTT